ATAAACAAACTCGCGAGATATCTCACCAACGATACTGTGTCGCGGAATATTTCGGTGATATATATATATAAATGGTGGAATATCTCGTCCGTGGTTAGTCAGAGTCGGTTCAGCTTATCGCGTGGAGAGACAATTAAAACGCCAATCATCGGCAAGATGCCGTTTATGGATACGATAATTATTCAGACGAGGGTTAATTTCTGCAAACGATGATCAAACGAGGGGATCGAATTGTCGATACGATTAATTTTCTCTGATGAAGAATAATCAAAACGAATGCTAATTTTAATGCTACAATCACTTCGGTTTTCTTCTTTTGGGCTTCATTCCTTTCTTTGCAATGGAAAAATTCGTACAAACTGTATCAAATCGCGTGGGGAGACAATTAAAACGCCAATCATCGGCAAGATGCCGTTTATGGATACGATAATTATTCAGACGAGGGTTAATTTCTTCAAACGAGGGGATCGAATTGTCGACACGATTAATTTTCTTCGATGAAACGTAAAAAATATTAAGAGTGGAAATAGGCGCGAAGAATAACGTAGTCGATTAAAAATGCTAATTTCAATGCTATAATCAACTTCCAGTTTTCTTCTTTTGGGCTTCATTTCTTTATTTGCAATGGAAAAATTCGTATCAAGTCGTGTGGATAGATAATTGAAGCGCCAATAACCATAATGAGTCAATTAAATGCTAATTTCAATATTTGATTCTTTCCTTGCAATTGAAAAATTCGTATAAAGTATATAGATGGATAATTAAAACGCCAATCATTAGAAAGATGCCGTTTATGAATACGATAATTGTTCAAACGAGTTTCTCCGATGAAACATAAAGCATATGTAAAAATCTTAGGAGTGGAGATACGCGCGAAGAGTAACCACAGTGAGCCGATTAAATGCTACAATTTCAATGCTACAATCTTCTTCTTCTTTTTACTTCATTCTTTTTCTTTGCATTATTAGAAAGATTCTGTGTAAACTATACAGAGTCGCGTGGACGAACAATTAAAACCAATCACGGAACGATTAATTTTTTCCAAACGTAAAAAATATTAAGAATAGAAATACGCGCGAAGAGTAACTACGATGAGTCAATTAAATGCTAATTTCAATCACTTCAGAGTTTTCTTCTTTTGCTCCATCCTTTCTTTGCATTGGAAAAATTCGTGTAAACTGTATCGAATCGCGGACAATTGAAACGCCAATCATCGGCAACACGCCGATAATTATTCAGACGAGGGTTAATTTTCTCAAATGAAACATAATGGAAAAATGTTAGGCGTGGAAACGAAAGAGCGAAGAGTAGCCACGATGAATCAATTAAATATCGCGTGACGAAGAATGCTAATTTCAACCTACAATCACTTCAGTTTCCTTCCTTTTGCTTCGTTCTTTCTTTGCATTGGACAAGTTCTTCTTGAGGACGCGGCGACACGTTTCATCGACCTCCTCCCTTCTCTCTCTCTCTCTCTCTTTCTTCGATGAAAAAATTCAAGAAAGAAAACTACGTGATCCGAGATGAAAGTGTCCGCATTTATATTTCCTCGAAGGTTTTCGAGATTCCTACTTTTGACACTAATTTGCCCGTTTCTCTCGTCTCCCTCGCCATAAAACTCCACCGTTCAAAGAAACCAAGCTCGCTTCACCTTCCTCCGAATTTTCAAATCGAACGGACGTACGATAAAATGTAAATGCATACCAACCAAGATAATATATATATCTCTATTTAACATTAGATAATTTTCTTCGAATAATAAACATTGCTCTCTGCCGCGTTTCACACGATCTAAATTCGATTCAAAATTTACCATAATTTAAACCGTAATGAATTTTCGCCTGTCTCGATAACAAATTGACGTAAATTTCGAAATTTTTCCGCTACAATCTTGCACAAGGTCCGGGCAAACATTCGCCCCTGTAACAAAGGACTTCCGTCCCTTCCCTTCCTTCGTACAAAGAAAGGGACACGATGTCCTCGTAAATATCCCTCGACAAGTAGAGTTCAAGATAAACTCACGGTCATCTTCTCGTCTTAAATAAACGAACAAGCAGCGTTTTATTTAAACTCAACTAGATACTTTTCGTTCATTTTCCCGCCGGGAAGGCGAGCGTATCGAATATGGGCCAGATAAGCAGGGAGCGAAAATCAGTAAATCCACGACGAATTCGACGAGAATTTGGCCGAAATTGCGGAGAATCTCGCGCGCCTATCCGTTTAAAACGGACATTGATATACACGCGTATGTGCTCGAAACTTATTTCCAACTTAGGTGGAGGAGCAGCTTATTTAAATGCTAAGCGGCGAGATAAACCAGAGATCCAACAGCCCTTCCCTCTATTTATACCCGCAAACACCAACCGGTTGTTGCTTTCATCGTGAACGCGTGTACGTGAAACCGTATCCGACGTTGGCTCCAAGTTAAAGCGCCGTCTAATTAAGTGGCGAAATTACGACGGGGCAACTTGTTAAACCGTCCGCCCCGAAAACCGGTGGCTGAAAACTGAAAACCCCGATCCGAGAATTTGGCGTTTTTTTAAAAAAACGCGAGGGAGATCGAGGCGATCGAAATGGCCAGTAATGAACTCTTAATCGTCGGGAAACATCCGCCCGCGTATAATCCGGGACTCGTTTTCGACACCCGTTTCTCCCGTTGTGAAACATTTTAATTAAGGTGGTGGGGGGGGAACAACATCGCGTTAATGTATCCGCGTGCATAAATATTCATATCGAGGGGAGGGGAGAGAGGGATCCCATCCGTGAATTAATCAGACGTATCTCGTATGAAACGCGCAAACCAATTTACAATTTTATTTGTATCCCCCTCCCCGTTTGTTTTCGTGTTATCGATTCGTTGTTGGAACGCGATTACGAATTCGTTAACTCGCAATTATATTTCCTCGGTTAATTGCTACTTTTGCCGTGTAGCGAATTAGGGAGCGGATCACGGCCTCTCCCCGATACAGATTTTATCCTCGGGGTGAAAATTGGAAAGGGGGATGATGATGATAATGATGATGATAAAGTTTTTAACATTGAGAAAGAGAGGGGAGGGGAATAAGATTCGAGAATTTCATTCCAGCTCGCCGTGAATTTTATTCCAGATACGGAAAAAGGGAGCAAGGGATGTAATAAGTTTGGCATATTCGAGAATCACGTGAGATTTTCGTGGCGGGGTATTATTCTTGTTAACGAGTTTTAATCTATCTCGCTCTCCATTAACTTATTCGTTTTAATCCCGCTCGCTTTAACTCGCTTAGAAGAGACAAAATTTTATCTCGAAGGTATCACCATTTACCACGAGTATAATAACTCATTTTCTACTACGCAGGAAGTAATTTAACTTAACAAAATAAATTGTTAATAATTTCATCATTAATAGTTTCTATCAATATCAACAAATTTATTGGTATTTTATTTATTTTATGATTATTGTTAATTTTTTATATTATAGTAGTAGAGTGAGGTTATAGAGAAAATCGTTGATTATCAGGTTTTTATTCGATATTTTATACTATTGTTTTCTCTTTACCAATATTGTATATTATTTATTATATATATTGAATCGAATGTAGTTTAATATTTATGACAATTTCTTAATTTTGAAATATATGAATTGTTATTTATCTATATTTATTAATATCTTTTTTTTAGTTAAAATTCCATATATATATGTTTCATGGTTGATTGTTAAAAAGCTCATGTTGAAGCTTCATATTATGGATCGATAATTTTAGCTTCAATTATATTAAAATTAGATGGATATGAAATATCACGATACTTCTATTTCCATATTTCAAATGATTTTGATAAAAATTGCACCAACATTGCTTAAAACCATCACGATTTTTATTTCGTTGTAAAATAATGGTAATTTATCTCTATTTACGCTTTGGTATTGATATTTCAGATTATTTTCCCCAACGAAATACATGGAAATCGACTTGCACGAGCAAAAAACCAGGAAAACAAAGTCTTATCGGTGTAACAATGGAGGGAGAATGATCGGTCGACTAGACTCGACGAACGACGTGTTTAGCCCGTGATGGCCCGTGTCTGGGCTTGGTCAAATCTGTACACGGTAGAGGAGTAGCCCGATTCTCCTCCACCTGGATTATTCGAGGTACTCGATACATCGCCGTGAAATCCGGACACACATTTTCCAAACCAACGAGCTTCTGCCTCGCTGTAGGCTCCAACGGATAAATGCATGTAGCGAGTAGATGTATGCAGTCATCGATCGGCATTAACGATGTACACATTCCTCTCTCTCTCTCTCTCTGTCTCTCCCTCTCTCGTGATAAGACTTTGCGATATGTGCGGGATATGTGCAGAATAATTAGAATAACGGCGGGAAACATCTGTGTTCCGATTATCTTACTTTTATAATTCGTGCAAACTGGCGTCTGTTGATCTTTCTTAATTAATTAATTAATTAATTAATTAATCCTTCTGGATTTATATTGGAAAAATTTTAAAGAAGAAAACGTTTAACGTTTGACGAATTGAAATTATATTTTATATCGTAATTAATCCTCCTCGATTTTACTGGATTGGAATTACTAGGTTTGCCAAAATGGCGGGTTTAACGACAGATGTTCTTGCCCTTGCCGTCAGAGGGACACAATAGTCGTCGTCCGTTCGTTCCTTAAGACCTTCTAATCTCCGACAATAGTCCGTTCTATTGTTCTCCGTTTAAGACAAGCTTTATTAATTATCCATAAATCTTCCTTTTTTTTGCAATATAATCTTCTATTGCCAGATTATTAATAATTTTTGATTGAAAGAGAGATGTAATTATAATTTATTACATTCGTTCCATTCGACATTTTCCATCCGATTGAATTATTAAAAACGATCATGCAGACGTTATCTGCGACATAGATCGCGATTTTTTTTTTTTTTCTATTACAAGCGATAATACCGTCCGACAACAAGATTACTCGAAAATATCGCGTGACCGTTCCTACACTTATCCCTACATTTTTCTATTATAGGCGAGCTCGTGGATAAATGCACGACACACCGAGATCACCATGGACGCGGTTCAATTGTTCCTTGTGCTGCTGGCATCGTCGCGCTACTTTCTACATCCGATCGGTAAGTCAACTCGTTCTGTAATAATTCCAACGTGAAACTCCATTTCCATCCTATGCCCATCCTATCATCTCTTTATGAGATGACACAACCGCGATAATTCGCGAAAGGAAAAAGAAAATTTTCCAAAAATCGCCCTCTCGCCCTCAATCTTCCAACGTAAACGAAGAGAACAGAAGACTTAATCACGAAGAGGAGAAAGAGGAAGAAGAAGAAGGAGAAGGAGAAGAAACTTAACCCCAAAGGTTGGTGGTCGGCTAGCTTCATCTCATGAAAACACACTAGCGGCGGCCAACTTTCTCAATTAGTGCTCGAGCCCGATCGACCAGCAACTCATTCGTATTCACGATGAATCTAGGGATCCCTAGATAGAGTAGACCGATAGCCTAGTGCTCTCCACAGATTCACTATCCTTGCTCTCCATCCTCCAACGCTATTTCTCATCTTTTTTTCTCCCTCTCCTATTTCTTCCACGTGTTTTTTCTCGTCACATACACACACACACACACACACAAGTCTATCTCTTTCGCCTCGCGAAACTTTGAATTTTTTAAACGTTTCTTTTCTCTCTCTCTCTCTCTCTTTCCGTACGTTGAATCCGCACATTGAAAAGAAGCAAAAAATGAGTATTTGAACGTCTACGCGCGTCTTTTTTCGTTTCAACGGATCTGTTGAATTTTTCAACATTTTATATTCCTATATAACCCCCGCCCATTCATACGAGAGAGGTGAAAAGAAAAAAGAGCGCAGGAGTTAAAAGACGGGCAACGTCCAATGAGCGAACGATCATTTGAAAAGTAAGTGGCGTAATTGCACGGCATAGCGATTATTATCGGCCGTGTATCTCTCCAAGATTTTCCTAAATCCAAAAAAATTCGTCGACGATGAAATTACGGATATCCGCTTTAACGAAGATAAAGCGTGTCCATCGCTTGGACGAGTTACTTGGTCCAAGGGTGGGGCTGGCTCGTAACGACGTGGATAAATCTCGCAAAATGATTCCTTTTCTCTCGAGCGCGACGGCGTTAACCGAGGTGGGGGGAAGACGGTGGTTTTTACGGAACCGTAAAACGTAAAAAGTGAAAGGGGGGCGCCTCGCCCCGACGACGACTCGTCAACGAATAATAAAGGAACAAAGTTTTCTCGAAAACACGCGAAAATCCGTTCGTCTTTCGCGCGCCAACAAGTCTTTTTTCCCTCTCATTTTTCTTCGTTTCCATTCGATTCGATTCGCGTTATTCCGATCGAGAAACCGTGAAACGATGGAGAGCGGGGTGTGAAAAGGAAAATTCGTTGTGGAGACAGATGCGCGATATACAGACGAGCAACAAATCTAATGACAATTCCTCTTTGTAATTCTAATCATCGAAAGTGTATAGACTTTATTCTAAAAAACTATTGTATTCTTCGAGATATCTGGTCCAACGATATCGGATAAAGATCAGAATCTGTCCGAGATGCGTCTCTTAATAGTGACACGGTTAGATACATGAAATTCACTTTTAGGAAGATAAATAAATCGAAGGAAGAGTTAAAAGAAAAGCTTGTTGTTCGAATGAAAGGAATACGTTGATTGTGAGCAAATTTTACATCCGAAGATTTAAATCGAATATCTCTTTGTCATCCATTCATCCACTTGACGAGGCACGCAACAAAGAAAGTGCTCGAATCGCAGTCGTTTCTATTAAAAGAAAAATTTTCTTACGAGGGAGAGAGAGAGAGAGAGAGATAAGTGGGTTAGCGAAGAAGAAAGAACGAATATCGTTCCTTCCTTGAAAAATGTTCCCTATGACGAAGTGACCGATTCTTTGTTCTTCGACGACCAAGAATTTCCTTTGATAAGATGAAATACGCCGAAATGAAAGGATAATTTTTTCCCCTCCTCGTTTCTTTACGCGGACCGATTCGAGTGTACGATCGAGATAAAAAAGGAAAAAAAAATCGTAAAGGGAAAATTTATACGATCCTTTGATGATAAAATTTGCTTGGGCAAAAAATATGATTCGACGTTTACGCGAATAGTGGAAGATGTATTTGGATCGTTAAAAAAAAAAAAAAAAAAAAATAGGTATACGAAATTTCTGGGGGAAAAATTGACGCCATAAAAGTCAGTAAACTGCTCCTATCCCTTATCGAAAAGAAGTAATTTCTTATTTCCTTAGCTCCTTAGGTCCAGAGGAAAACTTGTTTGCATCGTTATTGGCTACTTTCTAGCGGGAGGCAGGATCTTTCCTCCCCACTGTGAAACAATCACTCGATTTTCGGTTATATTCCTAAAATTCTCTTCCAATTTTTCCAATTGCTTTAAAATCTATTCGAACATTGTCGAATTACACGCCTTCCTTCCTTATATCTCAATCCGTAGAATCAATCGTAAAGATCGGGATCGATAAATCGTCGAATGAAACGAAACTGATCGTAAAGGGAAAATTTATACGATCCTTTGATGATAAAATTTGCTTGGGCAAAAAATATGATTCGACGTTTACGCGAATAGTGGAAGATGTATTTGGATCGTTAAAAAAAAAAAAAAAAAAAAAATGGTATACGAAATTTCTGGGGGAAAAATTGACGCCATAAAAGTCAGTAAACTGCTCCTATCCCTTATCGAAAAGAAGTAATTTCTTATTTCCTTAGCTCCTTAGGTCCAGAGGAAAACTTGTTTGCATCGTTATTGGCTACTTTCTAGCGGGAGGCAGGATCTTTCCTCCCCACTGTGAAACAATCACTCGATTTTCGGTTATATTCCTAAAATTCTCTTCCAATTTTTTCCAATTGCTTTAAAATCTATTCGAACATTGTCGAATTACACGCCTTCCTTCCTTATATCTCAATCCGTAGAATCAATCGTAAAGATCGGGATCGATAAATCGTCGAATGAAACGAAACTGAGAGAAGAAAAGAGAACGCAGCAACGTTCAATGTATTACAATTCATGGTTTCATACTTGATCATTGATTCGTAACTTTCGTACGAAAAATTCCCCTAAATCTTCGTTCCATGATCGAAACCCTTTATACACAGGTGGGAAGCGATTACACGAAAATCCATTTGCGCAAAGAGATTTTGATTCGCGTGCACATGATCGACAAAAGGGGAATTTCGAACGAATATCTTTTTTTTAAAACAACGATCCCAGAGAAGAACGATATTTTTAAAGATACGTCGATTCTCGAGCCAATCGATTCATCAATCGCTCGTCCAAATATCGTAATTCAAAAATTTAGGAACAAGCCTGATTCTTTTCATCGTATTCGCGTATCTATGAAGATATAATCGATACATCGATACATTGAGACGAGAAGAAAGAACAAAAGGAAAATTTAAGTTCGATCGGATTACCGCGATGCAAAAAAAGAAAACATATAGCTCTAAAACAGAAGCAGAATCCTCTTTTGTTTGTCGTCTATCCGTTTACTCGCAAAAGCTATAAAACAAGCTCCACTATGCTCTCACGCTGTGACATAAAGAAATTACCTTCCCCGAATAACCATGTCGCGGCATGTACAGAATAATTCAAAGGATAGTTCCCTTAATTCTAGATACACTGTGTTTGTACCTGTGGCGGATAATAATAGCTCTCTTTCTCTCGCTATTTCTCTTCCTAAAATAAACTCGAATTTCGATCTATTAAGATATCATTCATTTCCATATTGATCGTTCCATTCCATCGAACGACACAATCAAATTTCACTAATCCATTATTCCATTCTTCATCCCCCTCCCCTTCTATTCAAACACAATTCGGTTGGAAGACACTCAAGATACGAAACTTCCGTCGTTCCAGATTCCTTCCCTCCCTCGTTGTAAAGAAAGAGTACACCGTAATTCCATTTTCTTGGAGTCAAAAAATCGTCGCTTTAATCAAGAGGCAGAAGAGATAGAGGACAGAGAAAGAGGAGTGGTTCGCAGACCTTTTGCGAACGTTGCAGATAAGCCGAGGTTACTCTCTCTCTCTCTTTTTGCAAATTAGCAGACACCAACAGGCACGAGTTTTAAGGCATTCGCTCTAATAGATAATGCAATTTAAGAAGCTCGTCAACCAGGATGGAAAATGGTGGTAGGCCAGGATGACCAGGCGGAAGAGAAGAAGAAGGAGAAGAAGGGGATATCCGGCCCCTTATCCTGGGCGTACGTGGAGTGAATCTTAAATTTCGTGGCCGCAAGCCGTCGTTTCCGTCCGCATAGCTGAGTGAATAACTTCGGTAATTACCATCGACCCAGTTGTGTGCTGTACCCCCGAGTCAACGTCTCGAATTACGTTTGACCGGGAAAGGCGGAACGACAACTTTTGATATCGCGGTATATAGGTCGATTCGAGTTTCGCCCAAAACTCGACCCAACTTTCCAAATATATCGACGAGCAAAGTTCACGAGCTCGTACTTTTCCAAAATTCCTCCATTCCTCGATTCGTGTTTATTTCGTTGCGCGCGGATCGTCTTTAACGCCATGCTCGAAAGATCGGATTTTTTTGACAAGCGCGAGAAACAATTCCCTGAAACAAATTTTTCTCCTTCGCCGTTTCTGTTCAGTTTTCCTCCTAGTTCCAAACTTTCTACTAGCTCCTTCTCTTCAAAATTATGACAATATAAAACAACGCAGCAAAGTAAGCTGAGTTATTCTCACGTGAAGTTGCCAATTTTAGAATAAAACCGCGACTTGTAAACTCTAGTTAACCTATATTTTGCTTATATCGTTGTGTTCTTTTCTGTATTAGTTTAACTATCGTGTTACCGAATTTAGAATATCATTCCTAACACACAGCGCAGTTGAAGCACATCGAAATATTAGATTAGCTTTTGGAGAAGATTCTATCGATGAGAGGGTCGTTCGATGGTGGTTTCAAAAATTCAGGTCTGGGAATTTTGAAAATGAAGTGGACCGAAATCCATATTAAACATAGATAAGTTGAAAGCCAAAGTGGAAGCTAATCCACGAACAAACATCCGCAGAGTTAGACGTGTTTCCAATGATAGTTAGTGAAAGCTCGATAGAAGTCTATTTTTGAACAGAATTATAACTTGCGATGAGAAACGGATACTATACGATGTTGTACACGTTCTGGACAATGATTGGATGCCAATGAAAATGGCGAAACCATCGTTACGACTGAAAAAAGTTATGACGACTGAAACAAGAAGATACTGTAAAAGCAACAATCAAGAGATTGATTAAGGAACAACCCGCATTAATCGATAAAGTTGGACCTATTCTTATTCGCCAAATATTTTCACCAATCGATTATCACTTGTTTCGCCATTTTGGTTTTAAAAAGAATAAAATATTCGACACTCGAGAATCGCAACATTCGAAGAATTTCTTCGCATAAAGTTTTATAAAAATGGAATATGTCGGTTGAGAATCTCGTTGGGAAAAGATCATTAAAGCTAATGGCTCGTATTTTGATCGAATAAAGATTACGAAAATATACGGTTTCGAAAATATATCGTTTTTCTTCCCAACAACAAAAACGGCAATTTCATGCGATACGATCTGATAGTTACTCGAGAGAATAAGAATAATATTTTTCGTAACAAGCGTTTGAATAATGATGCGTTGGTAAAACATTCGAAGACTTCTTCTTCGTCGAGGAAAATTTAAAATCCGCCTGCGGCAGTATACGCATCGACCATAAAACTCTACGACGCGTATATTCCCGTCACAAGACGCGAAATAATTGAACGATAAACGAAGAGATTGCAGCTGACCTCTGAAAGGGTTGGCACAACTTTCTGGCTCGTTCAATCAACATCCGGTGCAATGACTTTCGTAATGATTTCCGCGAACGCCGCACGATATTTTCCAGTAATGCAATCTTCTTGAGTTTTCGGCTTGGCTCCAAGTCGTTACACGTACGTTATTCGATAGCTAGGTCCACCGGAAAATACCATTTGGGGGGGAGAGCTCGTGCGACCGAGCAAACTCTTGCGGTTATACGCTGGAACGACGTCGTTGTTCTTAAACCGGCGGTGGGGGGGAGAGAAAAAAAACGTGGCAGCGCGAATCGAGAGGACGTCGGTGTTTTGGATGGAACATTGGTATAGAAAAAAAAAAAACAACAATAACAACAACAAGGGGAAGATAAAAGCTTAACGACTCGAGTTTCGAGCAGAAGGAAAAGACAAATATATCCGTGGTGGAAAGTTTTCGATCGAACTTTCCGCCAAACTTTCCCAATATGCCGTTAGTTACGAAATGTCGTTCCTTCGAAATTCATTTCCGTTAGAAGAATGTTCGTTAACCGCCGTCGGTCAACGGGAAGGGAAAAAAAGATTTCCGCAATTGTTCTCAGATTTGCCGGGTGCGTATCGATTACGAGCGTAAATTTCGAATCTTAACCTCAACTTCTCAGCTCACGCTCCTCCCCACGTTTCGCTTATTCCTAACAACACGAGCAAACTCTGAAACGCGTGGGAACGTTTAACGTTTCTATTTTCTTCTCTCCACTTCCTTTGATATTTCGCAGAGAACAGAAACGAACACCAAGGCAACGATTTATTATTAGTATGAAAGGAACACTCGTGGAGAAACGCTCGAGACAACTTTTTCGAGAAACTTTTCCCCTCGTTATTACTCGGACACGAGTTGACGCAAGTACGACCATATCGTTACGTTAATTTCCCACTCACGTATTTCCAGCACAAGCGAGACTTATCGAACCAACCGAGGCGCGTATTTCTCAAAGCAGTATTCTCCGATGTTTCCAGATGGTGCTGTTCGCAGCGAGAAGCCGGCCAACGAGGAGAATAGAAATAACGTCCTTTCTTCGGTAACTGCATCTGTCAAGGATGTCCTGGCGCAGTCCGGCGGCAACGCTATGCTGCCGTGTAGATTCTCCGGCCCCGGAATAGTGAGTACACCGCACATATGTACACGTATGTAGGCGAATGTTACGTTCTGTAAATGATGTATACAAGGGAGGCGGGGCTCGTGTGTACGAGTGGACTATCACTCCTCCCCTCCCTCGTGTATGCAAAAGCTTCTCGGATTGTATACGGGTATTACGTATGGGCCGATGAACACCAAGGAAATGTGCGTATCGTGTGGCGCTTCATTGTTGGAATCGGGCGCATCGATAAACATCCAAGCTGCAGATTTCCACGCCACGACCCATTATTGTGCTCTCGAGCGAACGAGCGTACGCGTTTCCCCCAAAATATAATAGACTCCTTCTTTCGCTTCGAGTGTTGAGACGTTTCCACAATCACGTACAATGCGGGGATTGCGGAGCTTACTGACGAATCAACCTTTATTGACCCTTGTGCACCTTTCTCTAACCACTTGACTCTATCGTGGCAATCAACTCCAAAGCGTTTTCGCTTTCTACAATTTTCATTTGCTTTCTAGAATCGATCCTCCTAAGGTCATCGACATTTGTACATGTAAATTGACCGTGAACGGTGATATTACGGCCGTCTTAAAAGTATAGAAGCGTTGAATTCATATATGTAAAAGTGCGACTCGTATCTCGTACGTTTATGCGTGAATTGAGCGTCACTGGATCGTCGTTTCGATTCCTTGTTTTCGAAGCGACGCGACGTAGCGAGCTCGGCACAATAGAACAAAGGCATACGACCTTCATCTACATAACACAACTTATTCCTATTTCCTTTGTTAAATATATTCTTCTTCACTGTTACTTTCGACCAAGTCACTTCACAATCTATTCCCCAATAAGAACCAAGGAAAAGAAATCATCTTTCCCATTCGTGAATACTATCACGTAACGTCCGTTCCCCTGCTCTCCCAGGACTGTCCAAGTAATTTTCCCGTGGAGAATCTCTCGAACGTTCTTCTCTCTCGTTCGCCAAGCTAGTAGTAGATGGCGATGGCGCGTGAACCGTGGCGCGAGTATCGAGCATCAATTATTTATCAATGCGCGCGCGCGCGTGTCTAACGCTACTTTACATTCAAGCCGAGTGAAACGAGCGTCGCACCATGTCGACACGGTGCATTTCACCACCCGTAAACCCGATGCACGCGTCCTCCTTCCCCCTTCACCTGTCTTTCTCTCGAGGTATACGCGCTCGTTAATAAATGATCGAGGTGCACCGTGTGCAAGCCTCAGGGCTGAGGTCACTCTCGCAAAAGGGCGGAAACTGGGAAACGGTATTTCGTTCTCTCGAGGGAGAGAGAGAAGGACAAAAGGTGGTCCCGTTTGACGCGAGTTGGGTACATATATATATATATACGCAAGTTCGTCGCGCAACGAGCAACGGCAAGAAGAGAGGGGCGGCCTTGATGAAAGTGAGGACACGCGCGTTCAAGAGGGTAGGAAAACACAACTCCCTTCCTCCTTCTCCACCCTTCTAATTTCTCCATTTTAATGTTGCAAAGTGTCGAGTGCGCCAAGAACCGCGGTTTCCTTCCACCGCCGGCTTCTTGTTCGATCCACGCGCCGCACATACGTATACGCGTACACACGCGTATACAGTTTGAACAGGTACGCAAAGGAGGGCGAGGGAAATTTGTATTTCCCGCGAGTTCACCTACAATGAGAGCGTGATTAAGATTCATGCCGCATTATTCACGGCATAGATGCACGTGGAATCGGCCCGCCACCAAGCAATTTTCTTCCAAAGGTGAGGGGAGGGGAAGGGGAACGTTTCATCAACTTTAAGGGGTCGTCGCGCGCGCGATTTCCCTCCTTCTATTTAAGGGGAAGTTGTCGCTTCTTTTGGTT